ACATGTCCATCCTGGGCCTCCTGCAGTGCCACAACAATGCCACCCGAAGGTTGCAGGAACAGCAACTCATATTCCTCTTGGGAACCCTGCAGCCCAATGGTATCAATGTGGATTTCACAAGTTTCAAAATCTCCGCTCCCCCTACTGCATCCCAAAACCAGTCCAGCTCATCCCTGCCTCCCTAACCTGTTCTTCCTCCCACCTATCCCCTCCTCCCACCTCAAGCCGCACCTCCATCTCCTACCGACTAACCTCATCCCGCCCCCTTGACCTGTCCGTCCTCCCTGGACTGACCTATCCCCTCCCTAACTCCCCACCTACACTCACCTTTACTGGCTCCATCCCCGCCTCTTCGACCTGTTTGTTTCCTCTCCACCTATCCTCTCCTCTATCCATCTTCTATCCGCCTCCCCCTCTCTCCCTATTTATTTCAGAACCCCCTTCCCCTCCCCCTTTTCTGATGAAGGGTCTAGGTCCGAAACGTCAACCTCTCTGCTCCTATGATGCTGCTTGGCCTGCTGTGTTCATCCAGCTCTACACCTTGTTGTCTCAATAATTAACATCCCATTTTAGAAGCTGACAATAAGTGACAAATTAAGTAGATTTTAAGGTAAAGGCTGGTTTTCCCAGCTATAAAAAAGCTTGGGTTTTTTTTTCAGTGATTTTGGATTGATCTCTTGTTACAGAAGTTTAGCAACACAGGAAAAGCCAACAGTGGTCAAATAAATTGATAATTGGCCCACAGAACCGAATATTGCCCAGATGAATCAAGCTTTTAGAATCAAAGTTTTTTCAGGGCAGGTTACATTACTGCACAAATTTGGGAAAAGTCCAATTTTTAAGTTATTTCTTGACTTTTAAAACACAACATTTTGTAAGAATTAGAGATAGTAGGAGCTGCAGATGGTGGAGAATCCGAGACAACAAGGTGCAGGGCTGGATGAACACAGCAGGCCAAGCAGCATCGTAAGAATTATTGATTTTCAGTTATTAGTTATGAGTCCCCCAGTGATTTTCTATAATTAGCATTTAATTTGTTAAAATATAGAGAATACTAGGAAATTTAATTTTACATTACCTGGTGTAGGCAAGTTATGTTTTGTATAATTGTGATTGCGCTTGAGTACTGCTTTAGTTTTATTTATTCTCAATAGCGCTTTGAAAAATGTACAAGGATCTCTGACCATTGTTGATTTTCAAGTTTTCCCTTTTATCAAATTTTGCTTGATTAACACATCCATCGACTTCACCGAACATGGATTCAAAGAAAAGTAATAGTATAACAAAAAGCGAATTGATGTGACATTGCTTCTGTAATGCTCTAAGTTACCAGGCAAGATTTTAGCTGGCTCCATTGATTGAAACTAGGACATTAGTGCCACAAAAATTATAGGGACCGACATATAGTTACCTGCTGCTACTTTGAGCTGGCTGCTAACTTATTTAAAAAGCCCAACTGTTTCAGATGGTAGGTTGTTTTGATAAGGAAGTTGAAGTCCTATGATGTACGCAATGTCCATTGCTACTTGCGAGCCAACTGATCTGAAATGCATTGTAACTCGCTGTCCACCATTCCCAGTTGTTCAAGGGAAGTGGACTAAAGATGTAGGCTATTTTTTTTGCTCTTAGGTTTGCGGGGCAAAGGGGACATTACTGTTTCTGTGTCAGCCACTGCTGCCTTTGATCTCTGACTCCTTTGAAATTGATATCACCTTCTAGCCTTGAAGATGTCCGATATTGTGTTGATCTGGTATTGGAAAGTTACACTTTGGCACCTGTCACCTCAGCATGGCATGATAGCAAAATGACTCACTGTGCAGGTGGAGAGACAATAGTTCAAATCTGCCCCATTATGTTCTCCCCTTTCTCATGAAGCATCAAAATCAGATCGAAGGACCAAATGCCTCCAGATTAACCCTAGTCCACTTGAATCTTTGCTTGCACAGTCTTAAATTATGTCTTAAAAACGTTAACCAGTCTGTTCTCTCCACAGATGTTGACTAACTTGATGAGTCTTTCTACTGTTTTTGACGGTTGTTAATTAGTGAGTTGTTGTGCAATGTTTGTTTGTGTGTAAAAAAAAGCTTACATTTTGACATTGTTTTCAATTAAAACAATGATGGAAAACTTGACTTTCAACCGTCAATTGGTGTGCAGGAAAAAAGCGAGAAAAAAATGCCACTTTTATCAGAGATTTAACAGAATGGTTCAGTTTTTACGGTTAGTAGCAAAGGGACAAGGACGCTGAAGAAAACTGCCCTCAAAAGTTTAGCAAACTCTGCAGCACGAACTTGCTTTTTCAGTATCAATGTCAATTTGATGCTTTCGATAGAAATTTTGTAACTTCCAGCAATGAAGGCATGCTAATCGACTAATCAATACTGAAGCATTTTCACAGATAGCAAAGTGGATGTAAAAAAGCAGGGTGTACAAATCACTTTTAAACCATTGGACAGAACGCAGATTAAATCTTTGGACTTAGAAAATTAAAGATGAAATGTAAATATCGGACTTTAGAGAACATTTACAGAATATTTAAAATTTACAATGTTTACGTGCTGGTCTAGGAAAATAAACGTTCATACTTATGAATTTATTTTTCAGGGCCATAAGGTTGTTCAGGAGAAATTATGAGTTTGTGCACTGTTTAAAAACAGCTACTTCTGTTTGAACAAGGGTTAACTTAATAATTGCTCTGTCCAGCTATAATAATGTGCAAATAGTTGAAATTCATGATAAAGCAATTAATTTAATTGATTATGTGTGCAAAGATTGCAAATGTACGCTCTGTAACCAATTCTTAAATTTTGGTGTTTAACTGTGCATGTGCTGACCTCAGAAATTGCCATCAATTTTGCTCAGTAATAACGGTGGAGACTGGGAGCCTCACTGTTATTGCTGCTGCAAATTCCAAATCAATGCCAGAATTGCTCTGACATCCTATCAGTACATCTTTGTTTTAAATGTTGATAAGAATTGTACAAACATTGTCTCAATAACTTTGGATTAATTGTTAACCTTAAAGTATTGACTTTATATAGCTCTAGGGCATTCTGTTGCATTTTAATTCATGATACATCCAGAGACTGTTGATAAGTTGCATTAATTTACCCTGTTTCTTGTCCAAAAGCCTAGATGATCTACTAAGATGTGGAGTGACATTTGCTGCCAATATGGTTGTGGTAGACAAAGAAAGCACAATGAGTGCTGAGGAAGATTACATGGCAGATGCCAAAACGATTGTAAATGTGCAAACGCTATTTAGGTGAGTGTTACATCACTACATAAAAGGTTGTAGTCTTAACTTTTAATGGTAGTATTGTGAAGTACCTAAGTCTTCTAACATTCAAAGCAACAACCCATTATTTGTTCGCTATAGATGCACTGGTACCAAAATAGGCTGAAAAAACTCCAAATGCTCAGAAACCAAATACCAAAATAAAGGTTCTGGAGGTGCACAGAGGTTATGTTACAATCTAAAATGGAAAAAGATGGGTTACAGTTTCAGGTTGACACTTCAGATACTACCTGACTTGGTCTGCGATTTTGTTCTGTTTTCAGTTCAATGGTACAATAAGTTTAATTCTACACTAATAATTGTACTTAATGCACATTAGCAGCAAATATGAAATTTGTTATTATTAATATGAAATTAATTAAAGCAAATTTCGGGTTGAATGGGAAAAGAATCAAATCAATAAATATATTTGGATAATAAAAAAAATCAATTTGAGCTGATATTGAGTATAAAGTACTGCTTTCTGCTAAAATTGCCACCCTATTTGAATGTTGTCCCTTGTGTGATTCTGTCACTTGGACATTAGATGCTTCTTCAGTGTACCCTAAAGTTAACTGTTTATTACTGGGAAAATTCTGCAGCAGAACCCTAGCCCTTGTTCACACAATGGTATTCCTGCTGACTTGTATCTTTTCTCTAACCCAGGATCTTTGGCATGTTAATCTATGTGATGATTGTTCAGAGATAACAATATGGGCAGCATGAATTACAACTATTAGTTTCAGCTAACAATTTTGATGAGATTACCTTGAAGGTTTGCGTCCAGATGCAATACATTAGCCTACAACATAGCAATCACTACAATGATTAATCAAGACCAGATCTAAAATCTATTGTTATTAATGGAAAAGATTCTGCAAAGATTTGTACCACTGTTTAATTGCTACCGTTGAATGGATGCAAAGCATTTTTGGGTGTACGTTGATGTAGTTTGGGCAGTGTAACTTGGCAACATTTCTCAGTTTGATTCTTGAATATACCAAAGTCTTCCATTCCAGGAAGCTGTCCCATTGGTTTGATGTTATACTCTGTGCAATACAATGGCACTGCAAATCTGTTTCTTTTAACAGTCTCATTTCATTAATTGATGTTTCTGGCAGTTAAATTTTATTTTTGACGGCTTCCAATTGAGTCAAATACTAACTTTCATTAAATTTTAAAATAATCTACCCACGGAGAAGAATTTTGGAGATCTACAGACTTTGTTCGGTGAGGTGTGTAGAAGCAGAGCCAGGTAGTGGGGACAGCTGGAGTTCTTGTTATCTTCCATTCTACCAGCGGTGGTGAATGTGGAGGATGATTGTCCCTCTAGAGACCAGCTCTGCCGGTCCAATTAACAGGTTGATTCATCCAGTTTGGGAGGTCAGCTAGCTCAATTGGTTGGATGGTTGATTTGTGATGCGCAGTGATGCCAGCAGTGTTGCTTAGATTCCCATACCGGCTGAGGTTGTGATGAGGCCTGTGACCCTCAGGTTAAACCACCACCAGTCAACTCTCTTTGATGAGGGAGAGGCCCTGTGGTCCTCTGGGACAACAGGGACTTTACTTTGCCTGTCCACCGCTGGCATTTTACCATCGCTGGCCGAGCCCTCTGCCATGTAGACAGACCAGCTGGTGAACTTTGCCAGCTTTTCTTTGGCTTCTGGTTGGTGGCATGAGGGCGGGAAGCTATGCGCTCTTTGTTCCTCCTCAATGAAAACTCTGTGTGGTTCACAGAGGGTCCATCCAGATGAAATGCATGCCACCCCACCGCTGCCACCTTTAAAAGTTATTGCTTTCACGAACCACTACCCCAGATCCCAAGGTACCCGATCCCACTTAGCTTGTCTACAAGTGCAACTTACATCAGTGTTCTTTTTGGCAATGTGCAGTCTTAGCAATGACCACTGTTCTCAGTGGCACTGCTGGGACTAAGGAGCAGCAGCTCCCAGAGACACACACCCACCCTGTAAAGTGATGGAAGTCCCAATAGCAACTTATGAACTGCACGATGGACACCAAATCCACCTGGCCTTCTGCCATGTAGCCAGTGCAGCCTTCCCCATGCCTCTGGCTCATTGTTTGCCCATAAAATTGAGCTCGCTGCTTGCACGTGCAGAGTTGCAGAGTGACATTGATAATTTCCTGGACAAGTGGATTGCCATTTTTTTGATGCAGAAGTTGAGAATGGAAATTTTGTTTTCGAGCATTCACTTTGCATTGTGGTACTAATCTGCCTAATGACAGATTTGTGGATGAGTGTTGGAATTAGTGTTGGATTCCTCCAGGAAAAATTTGGCACAGACAAAATAACATCCTCCCTATATGCCCCTTCAGTTCAATTATGTACAAATCTATTAAAATGATTGATTATTTCAAATACGTCTCTCTGCAAATATGGAAGGTCCTCTCCTGCCTGTGCCTGAGCCTGAGCAGGAGCCTGGTTTCTGCCAGCCCTTCACATGCCAGCAGCCTGGACCATTATTTCATCAGCGGTTGTGGAGCTCACGCAGTGAGACCCTTGCTGGATTGTGGTCCCACACTTTCTATACTCAATGTTCCAACTGAGATGTCAGTATCTGAGCTGGGGATGGGGGTGTTGTCAGAGGCAGCCTTTCCAAAGTTTCCTCTGCTGCCTCAATATTTTCTTACTCAGAGGTTGAGAGGCACCTACTGATGCAGCAGCCCATTTCTCTGCTGGGATCATGGGGCATCTGTAAGAAATGAGCGAGAGAAGCTGCCATGATCGGTGGCTGGATACTGATAAAATGTTAATGCGAGCATCGCAGCAGAGTGAATGAAGTGCAGCAGTTGGTAGGTTGGCAGAACGTGAATGTTTCCGCATGCCCACAGGAAGTGATCCACATCTTGTAATGTGAGGGGCAGGATTTTGTCCTTATTGGGTGCAGAGCGTATTGTCTGGCGTCCCTCGATCCTGCCTCCCTCTGGTGTATTTTGGAATGTCTTCTACTGGAATGAGAGATAGGGAGGAATTAAGTGAAGTGAAAGTTGTTGACACAGCTGGTTCAGCTGGTCTTAGTGGTGAGTTGATCTGAGGGACAACGCAATCTGGCAAATGGCACTAGGTCAGATTGAGATATCTGGTTGGCATGGATGAGTTCTATGACTCTGAGTGAGTAGGCAGTGCAGATACCATGCAGTATTCGCGGTGTTGTTGGGTGGGAATGAGGTGAAATAGAGCAAGTGAGGGAAGATATTGCATGTAATAATGAAATTGGCAGAGCATGAACCTGGATGGGAGGTGGGAACAGTGGCAGAGATAGAGTAAAGGTGAGATAGCAGAGGGAAGAATGGGCACTTACCCCAGTGGAGCAGAGAAGGTCAGTGACCTCCTTGGGGCACGGCTGGCCATTCCTCCAGAGCATGGACACAACACCAACCTCGTTGGTGATCTCCAAACAGGCTGCCAGAGCATGGCCTTCTCTGCTGGCCCTCCCAGCAAGAGGACATCCTTTCTCTGCGTCACCCCATCCACCAGACATGATCAAGTCACAACATTGGGTAGAATTTCTGCTTCCCTGGTGCAACGTGAGAAAGGTGGGAAAATATGGAGAGAATGTAAAATTCAGAATCTCAACATTGAGAAAAATTGTTGCAGTTTTCCCCTTAAGCTTTAAATACCATTTCAGATTCTCACCATTTAGTGGTGACTGTCTTATTTCCATGCATTTGAATTTCATTAAGTCCACAACATACCATACTTATAGGACATAGATATACATTTAGAGAGTATGGAGCTGAATATCGGCCTGGGAGATATAGAACTGTGCACTTCGCTACAACCAGGACAATAGCAGTTCACCACTACTGATGTTTCGTGTTATCCGCCCAGCACAATCCCTGTGCTAATATGTTTCGTGATTCAGTTTAGCTAAAAGTCAGTGATAAGAAAGCTACCATCTTGGAGAACTGTACGTTGTTGGTATATCTCCATGGCTTCTCAGAAAAGTCTTTAATCCCAATGCACAGTGAATAATTTCTCCTTAAAGCTTAATTACATCTAATTTATTTGCTCCATATCCGATACTTATTTAATACCGTGCTTCATTTAGATAGAGACTAAGAAATTAGAAGTGAAAGAACACAAAGATGTCGCTAAACCATAGACCCACATCTGTACCTTCTCTCATAAGACAACCCCACCCAATGTTTCGTATGTTCACCATAAATCCCTCTTCAGGATTAAATTCAAGTTGTATCTTCAACCTTTTAAAATGGAATCAATACTGTAGAAACATGGGTTCAATTCCCACACTGGTTGAGGTTACCATTGAAGGATTCTCCTTCTCAACCTCTTCCCCATACCTGAGGTATGTCTCAGATTAAACCAGCACCAGTCGCTTCTTCAATGAGTGAGTGACGTTATGGTCTGGTAAAACTATGGTAACCTTACCTTTTATTGTAGAGTTGTTTTTGCATAACTATTTCAACAATTAAAAAATCCCTTACAAGTCTTACAGGGTTTCCTTTTTCACCTTCACTTGTTCTTACTGTCTGCTTCTGATTAATACGATTACTGCTCTGGTTAAGCAGGTTTAATTATTCTTTACTGTTTCCAGATAGCAAATAAATATGTGTAATTTAACACTCCTGAATGGTTAGATTAAATAAAATTCCAGCTTCAGAAACAGAAAAGGAAAATCATGATAAAAAGAAATCTGTTAGTAAGAAACAGTACTTAACAGAATTACATTTTCTCCAAATTAAATTGAATAATTTTTGTTATTAACAGGAACTAAACGTTTTTCATTACATCTCCAGAGGGTAGTTTTATTTTTGTTAAATTGGTGCTGGATTTAATACAAATTAGAAAATGATTTATTTCACTGGATATTTTAATTTATCTCACTGCTAATCAGAATTACTTTTAATTATACACTTTTGGTTACCAAATTGAATTATGTTCTGCCACAGGTCATGTGGAGTCCAAGGCCCTCCTCACGTTGTCCCAGTAATGCTCCTCAACC